GAGCACTGGAAGTCAAAACAGGAACAGAGAGGAAATTAAATCCAGAAACTGGGTGTCAGTCTTCATTGTGCAATCTGTTTTCACAGAACCAGCTAAATCTCAATTAGTGAATTCCACTTCAGCTTTTGCTCCTACCACCACTGTATCCACAGTATCTGGGAAATGACTTAGACACAGCTCTGGAAAACAGCATGGGTCCGGTGCTTCCAAAAGGCCAAAAGTCAATACGTTCATGTGTCAGATACATGTGCCAGGGTAGCTGTCCCAGCTGCACAACACATGATGTGTCAACTGCTTTACATAGGGTGGGGTCAGGAAGAGGCTCGTGAAAGAGAAACGCTACAGCTCTGCTTGCAACATCTCTGCATGCTTGTCCATTTAAAATAAAATAAAAATTACACTGCTTTAAGAAAAGAGTTACCCTGAACAGAGATTGAAACATGTATGGAAGAGCCAGAAGAACTTCATTTGGTACACTAGATAAAGATCCATCACTAATCTTTCATATCATTATTTCATCATTGAGGGAACAGCATAAATTATTCTGATTGAACTTCTGTAATAATTATAACAAATTAATTTTGATGACCAAATTCAGACTATCTTAAATAGGTAATGAAAGACAAGAGAGCTCCTTCTCTCTGAGCACACTTTGCAGCAAGGGAGTCTCAGCCAAACAATTTCCTCTGAGCGGAATTTCTCTCCTGTGTGGAAAAGGCCACAATCCCACACCCTAAAGGCATGCAGAACATAATTCCCACTGGAAAAAAAAACAGGGAGTAAGATACATAAATACCTTTCAAGTTCATCCTATCTATAAAACGGGCTAATCTCCTGTGAAGAAACGTGTGGCACCTCTTGGACAAGACAGGCAACAAGACAGCACATTTTGTAGAGTACAGAGCTGAAGTGTGGCATTTCTGGGCAGCATGAACTTGTGTCTGTGGCCACATTTTTTTGGTGCATCTGCTGGGAAACAGTGCTGGAGGGAAGCAAATTACATCACTTCTTTGGGTACTAAATTGTCACCACCATTATAGAAGTTCCCTTCAGTGGACATGAAAGCTGTTCCTGAACAAGTGAAGATACAATCACGTGGCTGTTATAGAGGCTAACAGGTTTGTTTTCATTCTCCCCATCCTTGACTTTTCAGTTCTGACCCTTTAGCTGTAAGACAGATTTCATTCCCAACAAATTCAGGAGTGGCGATTGCACCCTCAACCTGGAACTCACACAGCACTGTCATATCTGTTTGTACAAGAAATGCACTTCCTTCTATTAATCTAAAACTTCAGAGTTAAGACAATGTTATCCTACTGTTCATCTGTCCATTCCTATTGGAGGGGGATTTTGAGGGTAACTCATTGAGATAAGAGCCTGGAAGTGGATACCCCATCAGTGCCGAATGGCATCTTGGCCAGCCAGACCCCTCTGTGGTACATGCTCGTTCAGAAAAAAACAAAGATTTTCACAGAGCTAATCCCTGTTACACAGACAATCTGCAGCCCATTTGCTATTTCTTTTTGGCTTTATTTTTATCGGGGCCTTAAAACATATTTTTCCTTAAAATGACAACATTCTTTTCTGCCCTCTTTGTTCATGGAGCTTTGTGCACTCATAAACAGTTTAGGAGTTCCCTTCACACCTGTGGTGCACATGTGTGGTTGTAGTAAAGCCTGTCTTATCTATCCTTCACTGATAACTTAAGAGGATAGTGTTTAAGAAGAGGCACCATCCTTGTGACTGTAATGAACAAAACCAAAACCAAATCCCAAACCTGCAGCAGTGACAAGTGAGGCCAGAATGTTGGGGGAAGGAGAGAACCTGACCCACAAAGCTCATTAGAAATCTGCTTTCCCACGGACTGAGGAGTATCTCTAGTTTTGCTCTCTGGTATTTAAACCCTCTATAACCAGAGTTCATTGAAGTGCACCAATAAGAGACACGGCATTTCAAATTAACATACTTAGTCTATCAGGCATCTCCATGCATGAAAGTCTTTAAATGTTTAACAATTTTTTATTATTTTTTTTTAATAAAGCTGTCCAAAATCCTTGTCAAACACTGGGCCAAAAATGTGCTTCCCCATTTGGCAATTTGGGAAAGCAAGTGGAGAAAAGCGAAACATGAAACTTTGACTCTCAAGCTCATTCTTTCAAGCACCCGATAACTATCCCCCTTCAGCACTCCAACCAGCTGTTTCTTCTACAATTCCAGTGAAATACAAAGATAAAAAAGCTCTTGAGCTTTCAATAATAAGAATAAAAATAATTAATTAAAATTTATTATTTATCTCTATCTACCACGATTGTGTAGATAATACTTAAACCAAGATTTTCATATGCATATTGGCAAACATATAGGCTAAGAAGCCTGAGCTCCTATCTCTGAAATCCTTAAAAAATTGTGCACTCTCTAGCACATTTTATACATTTGTGCAATACCAAAACATAGAACCTCCTATTTCCGATATAACAAAAGATGCATTTTCTTTCCCCTTCAAATTGCTTCTGTAGAGAGAAGGGATATTGTCTTCCTCATCCTCCCTGCTGACCCCAAAGTCGGAGTAGAGAGACTGAGGGGAAGGCAAACAGACCTGCAACTCCTTTCCAGCTGGCAAACCCTGCCCAAAGATACAAGGAAGCAGCCTGTACCGTCGCAAGATTTTGCTCCATCCTTCCTTGACCTCCCTGGACTCCGTGTTGCTTATTTGGAAAATCACACTAAAAATGCTTCCCAATTAGCATAATCTGAGCTATGCTAAAGCTATGCTGCTACTCAAAAACAATTTGCTCAGAAAATGCCCCCCTGGAGACTTGTTTACACAGATCAGCATGCATTAGGCTGGCGTGCCATGACTTCTCTGCTCCACTGCCTTGTGCTGATTATCCTCTGCTCTTGCTGACTTTGCTGGCTGGGCCCTGGCCCCAGAGCCAATGTCTCAGTGGAAGAAAAACCCTAAGTTGACCTAACCACAAGACAGTTTGGGATCAGCAAGACTTTCCCAGCCTCTTTTAGCTTAAGCACTGGTACGAAGTCTGAGATAAATTTCCCTCCACAGAGAGAACCTTAATCTTCTGGTTAAACGCCACCACACAGTACAATTTAATACTTAATAAATTGTCACAAAGCTAGAATACAAGTATTCACTTGGTCACTTATCCTTTTAGCAATAAAAAACAACTGGGACTGAAGTTCAGTTGCAATTTGTTGCAGCTGCTGTGGCAAGGACCCTCTCCAAAAGTAATTTCCAGAGGATTCTTCTTGTTAAAAAGCCATTTCCTTGGCGAGGAGTGGGATGTCTGGAAGATAGCAGTGGGGACAAAACGAAGCACAGAAGTTTACAAGCATTCCTGAAGAGCATTTTAAAAGCCTTGTATTTATTCAAATAATTATAAAAACATTTGATGCAGCTAAGTAGTCTAGCCCCTCCACCAAAGTATGAAGTAGACTTCTAAGTATAACTTTTGATAGGCAGTTTTCCTCATTACCCCTAAGATGACACACGAGGCAGCATCAATGCTTGGCTCTACCCTGGAGAAGGTATGGAGAGAGGATGACAGCCTCCTTGTGGTCTTTCCATGGTTCCCAGGATATTCATTCTTCAGTTCTGACCTACACACACTCTCTGTTCCCACCACAGGAGATGGTTATGAGTAATTTAAATGATTTATTATTATTAATGACAACAATAATAATATACATTGCAAATTTAGCTTTTTTGGGAGTAACAAGAACTGAGAGGGTCAGGAAGAATGACTGTCAGGCTTGATAGGCAACCCCATGGTATTCAGCTCACACATTATGGCAAGTAATTGGTTATGTGGGTCAGTGGCATCATTACTATGACCTCAGTGGATGACAAATTGAAATTTAAAAATGACAGCTCTGGTACACCTTTCAGACTATGCTGATATATGAAACTGCTGAGATCTCGTGGCTTCACTATCCCAGGGAGTTAATTAGATGATAATGCCACAGAAAGAAAAAAAAATGCTATTTATCTCTGTAAACACTCATTAATTTATCATAAGTTAGCACACCAGCTATGGCACCTTCTCTAGCCTGCCAAATGGTCCCTCTCTTCCCTGGTGCAAAGGATGGTAGCCAGCTTCTTCCCTTCTGCTTCTTCCATTATTATGCCCTGATGTAACTCACCATATGGTCTCTATGTGAAAGTTATATATTAACTATTTAATCACAATTCGTAACTCATTCTTTGGTAAGAAATGCCATTGTCCTTTCTCCCTCTAAAGAGGAAATGGCAATTTGACATCTCCTCTCCCCTTCCCTGCCTCCTGAATAATGACAAGGAAGAAAGAAAGTCTGCACCCAGTATTCCTCCCAAAAAAGAGAGGAAGTATTAGACTCACAGCACAGTCTCATTGTCCTGCACACCCTATTGACCCTCAATACAGAGAGGCATACTAACTTTTCTTTTTTAAGATATAAAGCAGGATCTTGAGGGTCCTAAGGGAATTTATGATGAACTGGATGGGAGGCAGGCTCTGCTCTCTCATTCTCAAGCCAAAAGAGACAAAACAGGGGCATATGGCAAGTTTTGCAGTCTGTGCTAACTCTGCCAGATAACACCACCAGAAGCTTCACTTGGCCATTTTTTATTCAGCTGCTACTGAAGGCACACTGCAAAGACAAACTATCTGCCAAGCCCAAGGCTCTCTATCACCATCTCCTGCCTGCAGTTATGTCATATTGGACAGAGGTTTTTCTCCTTTTAAACCTGTGCTCTATAAAACCTCAACCTGAATAGAGGCCATATAAGCCAAAGCACCTCTGTGTTACATTCCATGTGATCACACCCATGATAAGAAAATCAGGGCAAGCATTAGGGCAGACCAGTAAAGCTAGCAGTAAAGAGTGGGTGGTAGGTTGAGTCTTCCTTAGAGCTTGCAGCATTGACAAGCCCAAAGTCTACTTTCAGTAGATTTCAGGAAACAACCTAAGCTATTTGACATGGGACTCAAGCCCCAGCTAAACACAGGACCTACACTTCTATGGCTTCTAATTTTTACATGAAGCAATATGATTAAATACAAGATGGTAGCATATCTGTCACTAGCTTTTTTTGACACAGCCTAAATCTTTCTGAAACTTCTGAAAATTAATTTAAGTTCTCCCCAACTAGATTAGTTAGGCTCAGTGATTTGCATGTCTGTTAGTGGTTTTACATACAGTTCTTTCCCTTGCTTCTAGACACTTCGTTTTACAGCAAAATGTCCAGCTTTAGGATCTTTGCAGGCTCTCAAGAAGAGGTGTACCCTTTTCTGTAGGAACATCTAGCAAAAGAAAACAATTCTGGAAACTGTCCTGCTCTGTGAAAAAAAGGAAACCTAAAGGAGGTTTTCTTCCATCAGATGCATTACTTTCCCTGATGCTGTTCTAGTTAAGCATGAGATTCCAAGAATAAAAGTTTCCTGCTGCAACATAAACACGTTCTGTTTGCAATTTCTTTTAAAAGATCTCTCTGCTTTTAGGCATTTCAGACTTGCAGGGAAGAGATCACTCTGACATCAAGTGACTGCTTCACTCGACAGAGGCTGCCAAAACACATAGAACTGAACCCTGTCCTCTCATTCACTGGACCAATGAATATGCTCTTAAAAGCACGCACAGCCTGGTTCACACTTACATGATGCACAGAGAATGAGGCAGAGGGCTTGTAGAGTGAAGCAACACCTCATTCCCGAGCATGTGCAGAACAGTCCACCTTCACTTACTGCTAAAAATGCTAAACCAGTGCCATTTGCACTACATATGTGCAACATTCATGTCTCCAAGATTCATTACTGTGCATATGAAAATTCAATAGTATCAAAGTTTAGCTTTAAGAAAGTCCCTAGGGGCTGAACCCTGTGCTTATGTGCTCTGAGTGAGGAAAAAAAAAATAAATCAACAATTCTTAAACTTCTTTTTCTTTTTTATAGTGTTGACCCAGTCTTTCTTCTAGTAAGAACAAAATAGCTGCTAAATGAGTGAACTCCACAATCCCACTCTGTGCTTATAGGCATTCATTTTCAAAAGTCAGGTTCTGTTCGTGTGAACACAAATGTATAAATCATAGATGGATTTAGGGCCAATCCCAAGAAAACTGTAACTAAGATGAACAAAATATCATTTTATTTGAAAACTGATGTGCTTTAATCATTTAGTATGACCATGTCATATGTCATATATGTCATATGTCCATCTCTCTCAAACGCTACTTTCTGTAGCTTATTCTAGGCAAAGGATTCTGCAATGAGCTTGCAAGTATTGCAAATTCACCTATTTTTGCATTTCATTGCAATTTGCAACTTGCTTTGTATCCAAGAAATTTTCTATTAAAATAAATCTGCCTTCAATGAAAAAGGGAAAAATTATACTTAAGAAAAGTGATGGGCTGGGGACACAGTCATTGCACATCCTATACTTGATTAAAAAAGAAGAGGTGAATGATCATATTCTCTAATGAAAATAAAGACTTTTTCAGGCAAAATTAGTTTTATAAAGTAACAAAACAAACCTTCTGATCTTCGTGGCTTTTGTATGGGCCTTTCACATCCACGGATATGAAGCTCATAGAAGCTGGTTTCAACCTAAAGATACCAGCAACATGGCCTAGAGCATAGCACTGAAAGAAAAGGATTTCAAAAGAATTATCCTCTCTTGTTTGTTGTTTTTTTCTGGGTTTTGGGTTTTTTTGGTTGTTTGGTTGTTTTTTTTTTAATATCTAAATACACTTGGAGTTTTATCGATGCAGGAAAAACAGAGTGGCAGCTTCTGATTTTCTTCCCCATTTCTGTCATCTCATACAGCATTCAGTTCCTCAAATCTATGATAAATGTCTAACAACTGCAGTGCTGACACCAGCACGAAGCTCCCCAGCACTACAGCAGGACATGGTGACAAGCCATGTCCCAACAACAGGCCAAGTGGGGGCTGCCAGCTTCAAGTCTGGCTCATTGCACCATGACTCTCATCAGCCATAGCCAGTTGGCAGGGACTTCTGCAAGCCCAAGCAGGAAAGGAAGGTCCCTGCTTTGAGGGTGTTCTCCAAGTTAACATTTTTACATATATATATAAAATTTGTTTGGATATAATTTTTTAAAATCTCAGGTACAAAAAATCTGAAGAAGAAAGCAATGCTCAAAAAACAAACAGAAGCAGGAGCTCCATGGGGCTCCTCCTCTGCAGCGTTAAATTCCTCCTAAACAACGTTTCCAGGGTGAGGCATTTGTTAGTACAACTATAAAAGGACCAAAGGCTCAACTGACAAACCATGAGATAGTAAGTGCTTGCAAGATACATCCGGTGTTGAGATAATTAAAATCAAAATTAAACTTGTGCTGTATTTGCATCTGCAAAGCATCAGTTAATCAAACATAATGAGTTAATCAGACTCATTTTTTCCGAGGGCAAAATGTAATCATGCTTCATCATCTTTTGTGCTGTCTTTAGCCTCTGACAGACTTTCCAGACAGAAACTATGCCTTCCCAAGTATTTGCACACCCGATAGAACATCAGAATCCTGAAAGTTTTCTAGGCAACACTGATAAGTATTCTTGCAACATTAATAGGAAATAGTCGTAGTAAAGCCACTTCGTAGGAGTTTTTGCTGTATGTTAATAAATAATAACAACAAATTGAAGGGGGCACCAAGCATGACCCAAGAAGGAGATAATACTCTGTGTCCCATGTTTGCAATCAAGACACAAGCCAGCTGACTATTTAGCAAGACTGCTGCCAGGAAACCAGTATGTCTCCCAGATTCCTAACAGCAAGAGCAAAGAATACATTCTCTGGTAACCTCTGCAGATTTAGCAATTCTGTATTTTCTCATTTAAAAAAAGCAACAAAAAAAACCCCCAAAAAAACCAAACAAACAAAAACACAGAACAGCTATAACTGGATGTAATTTATAGGTATTGTAATTAATTTATTTTTAATCCCATGGAGAAATCATTTACCCTCTCTTGGTTGCTAGCTATTCAAGATATTGTGGTTACATTTTTGGTGTTTTGGTACATTTTATTGTAACATTCTCAGGGCGCTGCAGTCAATTACTACATCTCATGCTGTTTTACTTGCTACAAAGCATGATCCATGCATTTTCTAGCAAGTCCTTGTGGGTAACTATGTCCTGTTCAAGAAACACGTGTACATCCATGTGCTGATAGGTGTAAGATCAGTGCCAACTTAGTAATTTGGATTAATGGCTTTTTGGTTTGGCTTCTAGTTCTCAGTCTCTTAGCTCAAGCTGTCATAGAGTTTTTTAAAAAATACATTTTTTAAATTAAACCGAGTACAATTGGAACAAAAATATTTAGCAGATACTGGTCTAAAGTGCCTCTGAAGTGCTAAAATTCATCCCAGCTTTTCACTGAGTCCTCTCTCCCTTTTCCAGACCTCATTATGTCCTATCCAACTTGACAGTTGTGCTGGTCCCCTCTCTCGGCCTACCCCAGTTCTTCCCTTTGTTGCTGCTGCGCTTGTTGCGCATATCGGTGAGTAGGAGGGATAGTCCCAGTGGGAAGCACAAACCCAACCAGCTACACAGCAACAAAGGGAACAAGAGGCACAACTTGCTGGGGAAAAGAGCTTAAAGAATGGCTCTTGGCCAGGACTTGGAAAGGGCAAAGATAACAGCACCCTGTAAAGAAGGAAAACTCCTGGAAATAAAGTTTGGTAGCTTCAGTCTACAAGAGTATGAAAGGCAGTTGGGTGCGAAGGGGCGCAGCACTGATGGAGGGGACAAGCCTCAGAGGACAGAGGGACTATAGCCCAGAGGCAGGAAATAAAAAAGATAGCAGAGGGAATTAAAGAGAGTACAGAGTCATCATCCAGGAATCTATGGAACAGCTATGCCATTCAGTCACAGGATTTTCCCTTTCAAGTTGCATCTCTACAGTTGAAGCTAGTGTGTTCTCACAGGATAGCTCAACTGAACACAGCGGAAGCTCTATCTAACGTGCAGAAAAATTAATCAACCACCATTGCTAATCTAGTCTTTTTTTATTTATGACTCTGGTCAGTCTATAGTATTTATTCAGAGAGATGACATATCCAGAACAATGTCCCAGAGAGACTAGTGCTGACATGTTGGCTGTTACTACAAGTCATTTCTCTAAATCAAGTTTTGAAATGAAGTTGAGGGCAGACAGGATATAGTGATGACCCCCCCAAAAGTAATGTGGTCTAATATGCACTGCATGGTCCTATTTCTGAGCATATTTTTCCCTTGTGCAAATGTTGCTTTCGATTCTCTGTGAAGCTGGGAAGACATTAACAGTTTGCAGAAAGGGGAAAACAGGAGTGAGAGTGAAGAACAGTGAAGACAGTGAAATCTCTCCGATTTAGCACGTCAGTGCTTCACATTCTCTGCTGATCCAAGGCAGTAAAGGGAATAAGAACTGAAAATAAATAATATTCCTCAGAAAGACATGAAAATGTAAGTCTTACTAAAATCCACATTTGCCCTGCCACACTCTGTCCAGCAAGTGGGATCAGCTTTACTCATGTGAGTATTTTCATTAATTTGAACTGGAACTTTGCCTCGCAAAGAAGTGCTGGATCTTCCCTTTCTGGGCAGAAGCCCTGTAACTACCAGCTGAAATGTATCAACACTCCAGATAAGCCATGAACTACTGTATCCGTTGATTTACTGCTGATTAGAGACTCCCAAGTTACTCCTAGTCCTGAGAATTAACATAATTGAAAATGTTACATTAACATATTAAAGAAGCAATCTGAGAGTGCATTAGTCTACCAAGGTGAATAAGAAAATAGGTTGTTGGCTGATGGTCCTTTCATCAGTTTTGGTGAGAGATCTCTGATTTCCACTATATGTAATTGCAGAGTTTAATGCACAGCTCGGAGCTGTCACAACTGCAACAGCAAAGTTCTACTAGTTTTCCTTTAAGTTGCGTATCATTAGTCCTTATTAAAACTATTACCTAATTATAAACAAGATATAAAAGGTACTGCTACTTCTGACATTATAAATTCCACTAACAGATTGTTTTAGAAGGAAAAGCACAGGCCTATTCTTCTAGCAAACGGCATGCAAAACTTTAGCACAAAGTCCCATAATCTAAACAAACCAAGTACTAAGAGAGTGCTTTAAAAAAATTATGAAAATGTTATGTCTTACCTGCTTGAGATCTGTGACACCACTGTTAAAAAACACAGTGGCTTTACCAACCCTGCAACTGGAAGTATCGCCAAACATAAAGCATTATCACAAAAGTAACTTATTTTTTTCTTCTTTTTTTTTTTTTTGGTTTTTTTTTTTGTGTGTGTGGGGTTTGTTGGGTTTTTTTCCCTTTTCTTCTTTCTACTGCAGTTCTGCATTAATTGTGTTACTCCAGGCAGATGGTAGAAAGTAACATCTACAATTATTGATAGCAAATCTAGGTAATTTTTGTGGACTACATCTGTGTGAGACCACGCAAGAGCTGGGGACAGAGACCCAGAGAAAGAAAGTGAAATCAACACTGACAGCCCTTGACGGGAGGTCAGGCTTTGCTCCTTGGGAGTCAGAGTCACTGATTCTCCAGGAGCCTTTGCTTGTGATACAAACAGGACAACTTATCATGCATGCAACCTCTTCTACACTTACAAAGTTGTGTCTGACTTGAAATATATCTTGTGAGTTCCTGCTGGTAACTAGAAATTCCCAGCAAGTGCCTGAGATTGGCAAGCAAGGGGGCAAATCTTGCATATGCAACCAGTAAGCAACACATCTTGTTTTTCAGGAACTAGGTGAATTATAATTAATCATTCTCAACATTGTGCTGAATAGACATCCAAGTGGGAATTGGGAAAGGTGGCAAGACTTCCCCAAAAGGCAAAAGTTTATATATCGTGTTCGGGGCTATACAGCATGGCCCCACAAGTACCTACACTGAAACTTATGAAACTCAGATAACGCTCAGTAGGAAAACAAGTCCCATATACTGACTTTTTTGTGAATGCACCAAAGAAAACATATAAGAAAACGTATCATGCTCCTGTATTTCCTCAAGGTGATTTAATATAGTAATTATTACAATGTGCACTTGGAAAGAGCACAGTACTTTAGTAATATGAAACTTCAGCACAGCATCTGTTACTAAACTCTGCTCAGAGGTAAGGAGAGGCGACCAAATCCTGGGTAAATTATAAAACAATTGAGTGGCTAAGGAAAGAAAGCTCAGAGGAGCGTAAAAACAAATTTCTCACACGCAAACCCCAAAACAACCCCACTGTTATTATGTCTGCACACAAACCCAAATGATAATGTTCAATTATTAAGAAGATGATGTGAAACACTTTAGGAAATTCAGTGGATTCCTTGAATTTGCAAATTGTCCGCTGCTTTAAGGAAAATGTAAGCAAGATCCAGACCCTTCAGGCATTGAGTATTTTAGCTGAATTTTAGCAGCTCCCTTGCTGCTACACTGTTTGTTGCTTATGAAAAGCAGCTGTATTTGAAGGTACTAATAACACCTGATAGTATAAAATCTGTATTTTCTGAAGAAGCCTACCTCCTTCAACAGCAGAATGAGCAACATTCATACCATCCAAGTTGAGACTTGACAGGGAAGTATAGGACTTATGGCTTAAAATGCTACTTTATAGTTTACCACAAAGATAGTTGAAAGAAGATTATTTTCTATCAGACTTCCAAGTATCCAAGCAGGATAGAAAAGACAGAAGACTGCATAAGCAAATCAGGGTCTTTTTTCATAAAGCTTATGTAACCTTTTCTTTCTTCCTCATACCCAAACTTCATATTCATGGCTGTTACTCCCTGCTTAACTCAACTGGACATAACAAAACAAAACTTCCACAACCACTGAAGCATATTTTGAAGAAGAAAGCTAGAATTCATTTTCTTTCATACTAAGCAAATCTATGTGCCTTAAACTATACTATTGTGGCAGCATTCTTTTTTATCCTCACCATGGAGAAAGATACCAGAGATCAACTTGCTAGGCATGATTTTTAAAACCAAGTTTGTTTCAGCACTTTAAAAACAGTTTTTATTTCATACTCAATTTTTCCTCACCTGTTCAAATTCCATTTAGTGTCTGAGAAAAAGCAAGAAATTTGCTTTACATCTAGCAGCCCTTTGAACAAGTCAAACAAAGAAACACTGAAGATTATATTTTTTAGATTACTTTTCTTTCATCAGTTACAAAACCTACAGAGAAAAATGAAACATTTAAAACCTTTCAACTGCCCGCTTGCACAGTTCTTAACACCAATTAGGAGATTAGACTATCCCAGACAACCCCTATCAAGTAAATTAATTCATTTAGCACAGAAAAGCTTTGCAAACAGTGTGAGAGGAGGGCTAGCAATTGTTTGCATATAGCACGGAGACAAACACTCGAGCAATGAAGCGATGTCCTACCTCTCCTTGACGGTGATAGAGCTTGGGAGGTTTTCCCATCTGCTCTAACATTTTGCCCTTCTTACTGCTAGCAAGCGTCAGTCCCTGGTGGATGCCTGCAGATCTGTTGGTTGTCTGAGTTGGAGCCTCCCCCATCAGGGTGGACTTGATGGAGTTCACCTTCGAGCTGGAGCTGTCTAGCTGGGAGCTCTCCACGATCAGGACCGCGGCTAGTAAGAGGAGACAGCAGGAGCACTTATTCCACATCAGCACGATCATCTCCCCTCCCCCCAGAAGGATTAGCCCGAGCCTGGGAGACAAAGCTGCCCTGGTGTGGTTGGGTTGGGTTTGGTCATTTTTAAGCCTTCTGAGCTTCCTTCTTCCCAAGAGACAGGGCTTGCGTTTTGCATCTTGGATTTTATGCTCCTGTGCTTGCAGCAGGGAGGAGTGGCTGGGGGGGGGGTTTTTTCTTTTTTTTTTTTTTTTTTTTTTTTTTCTTTTTTTTTTCTTTTTTTTTTTTTTTTTAAGGCAAAGAAAACAAAAGAGAAAAAAAGTTTTAAATATCTCCTAAAGTTGTTAACAAAGCACCATGGATTTCAATGCCACACATTCAAGGAACTGCTGTTCTGAAAGACACAGGAAAAAATGCTTTAAAAAAAAAAAGAATCCGTTAGGAAAAACCCGTGTCAAGTCTATAGGCACTGAGCAACTATCGGGTCTGTAAAGTGATGGCTTTTTCCTCCAAGTCCTCGAGAAGTCCAGTCAATTCTTTAGTAACTGAGAGCGACAAGCTATGAGGCAACTGCACCCAGGGCAGCTCCCACCAGTGCAGTCACCAGCACGTTTGCTTGAGCTTCAGAGACACAGTGAGAGAGATACTTCCCCCCACTCCTCCTCTCTTGCTGCACAAGCCAGCAGAGAGGAAACTCAAACCAGATCCAATCCAAGCAGCACCGGCAAAAGCTGGGCTTAGTTTTCTCTCACTCTCTCTCTCTCCCCCCCTCTCTACTTTTTATTCCCCTCCTCCTTTTTCTGCCTTTTGCCTCTGCAGCCAGCAGGAGTGAAAGCGCCCGGTCTCCTCCTCCTCCTCCTCCTCCTCCTCCAGCCCTGTTGGTGCGGGGCGAGGGGCAGCGGCGACGGGGCGGGCAGGGTCGGGGGAGCCTGAGCTGGGCCCTACCGGGCCGGCTTGCCCTCCCCATCGGGGGGCTGGGGGGGGCGTCCCATTTTTTTAGCGCGTGTCCCGTCCCAGCCCCGCGGAGGGACAAGCGACCCTCGCCCCTTCCAGCGGCCACTCTCTCTGTCCGGCCGGGACACTCTCCCTCCGCACGGTCCCCTCGCCGCTGGAGGCCAAGCCTGTCCGAAGGAGTGGGAGGGCGGCCGGCGACTTTCCCGCACCGCAGCGCACTGCCGAACAGGCTTTTGACATGTTATGCTTGTGTCGAGATGCTCCAGACCCGCGAAATGCTCAGAAGTGCAAATCACGCTAGTCCCGCAGAGCTGTGAGAGCACAGGACTGGCATGTGAGTCCTGCCACATCATGTGCGAGTCTGTTAAGTCCCTGCCTGGTTCAAGAGCATGTCTAACCGCTAATGGTTCACTGCACTACTCCTAGATATGGCACTTCTCAGCGCCACAGTGCCACCAGCAACCCACGATATTTATTTTTTATTCATCTTCTCCACTTCCTTGGAACGAACACACATGCAATAGTTGTAACCCCAGCTTTTAACTTCTCCCTGTTACCTCCCAAAGATTTTGTGCAGCTACAAGCCTCTGGACATGTGCAAGTGAGGTGGAGGGAACAAAAGTTGGTAAGAGGAGCAGACCTCTTCCTATTCCACATGTTCATGTACACACACTGCCATATCTGGGAATGGTACAGACATTTTTCATGGTTTCCCCTTTTCCTGGGGCATCACTCCTTTAAGCTATCAAACCCTTTCATTTACTCTACCTCTTCACAGAGCAGAAGGGGTGAAGAAATGCACACCTGAAATTTAATTTCTTCTAAATTAACAGTTGTGAAAAAAAAAGAAGTTGCTACTTCAAGAAATACCAAAGAGGAGCTGAGCACCCTTGGCCCTTGATGCTCCTGCTCCCTCCCAGTGAGCAGAAGCCCTCCTGGGGCCTCAGGAGCTCTCTGCAGGAATACTCCATTTCAACTCAACACCTTGAGTAGCATTTTTAAAAAGTCTGTCTTTCAACATGTGACTGATAGCTGTGTGTCCTAATGTTAGGGCTTGTATTCTAATAGAAGAATCTTGTAATGAGTAGATTTTTTTCCACAGCACAAACCTTGAGAGTACTTAATTCCATCTCACAGGGTAGATTTTTAAAAACTTGTATATCTTTCTTATCTAATGATCTCTCAATTTAGGGAATAATTATGATTTTGTTTTGGCTTTTAAGTAACAACTGAAATGATATATCCTCTCCCCAATACTGGATTTTAAGATGTCCTACAGAGAGCATGGCATTTTGCTCTGACTTGGCCTTCAGATGAGCTCATGTTCAGTCGTTTTGAAGTTGGGAGAAGTTTTATTAGCACTTGATTTCAGAAAATTATGTTAAGGGGGAAAAAAACAACACAACAAAAAACCCAACATTTGCCTTCTTCATGTTTCCTTTTCCCATCTTTATACAGCCTTAGATAAATAAAAATTCTGCTTCTGACTTCATGCCTGCTAATTCCTGAAGACATTTTTGAGGGAATGTTTCTAAAGAACCATAAAGCAATCTGCCATTTCACAAGAAACTGAAAAAAGCCAATCCCTTTTTATTGTATTTGACATCCAGCTCTCCTGGTGTTCCAGCCGTCCCAAATCCAAAAGCAATCAGCAATCAGGGTCACAGGAAAAGCTCTAACAGATAATTTCCTAGAAAGTGGGCAGCGAGCCATATAAGCACCACACACACACACACACACACAATGGGTGAAATCAGAGCCATGGAGAAACCCACAATCCACCAAGACATAAATACACATTGCATGACCCACGGGTGTGGGCAAACAGAACAGGGCTGATGTTCACCCCCTCCTCTTCACATAGGATTGAGCTGAGATGGAGAAATACTAACTGGTAACAGCTCCCTGATTTCTAATAACAAGTTAATCCTGCATTTTATCTTCCTATTACCACAGATTGCCCTAGTCACATTTAGCTTTCTTGCTGGGGATAAAACTGCAGAGAACACTTAAGTCACAATTCACATTCCTGTTCCTGGTGTTCTCCATATATACTACCACAGAGCCTTAGCCCTGATCTGTTCTGCTCTGCTCTATGGAATAGCACCAAATTTGTAAAAATATCAAGTCAGGAGGTTTTGGAAGATGACCACAAATACAGGACAAGCAAGATGTCATTTTCTCACTCCTAAGAGATTTGATAACATTATAGGTGGTGGGTCTAGGCTATTGATCAAAACATAATGGTAGGGTGTTTTAATTCACAAGTCAAACAGCCCCCTTCTGCAAAAAGCTTGATACAACTAAGAATTTCTGGTATATTCAGGTGGGCTCTGAATCTATTAAATGATTTGTTTGTTACCTTTGGTGACAGCAATACCAACCTCCCTCAAGCTCTCTCAAGAAATACCTCCACCCCACTCATATTTTTCTTCACTGAGATCTGTAAGGTGGTGTATTGTGCTAGTATTCAGCTGTGACAGATACGCTTTAAAAAAACAAACAAAACAAACAAACAAAAACCCACACAAAAAAAACCAAACAACACAAAAAATATCCACCTGGGTTTCTCTTACACAGGCAGGAACATAAATTTGTAAGTCATCGGTGGAGTATTCTCCACCAGAGTTGCATTCAATATGGGAGGATTACAAAGAGAACAAAATAAACTGATGAGACATGCAAAGAGAATCCATGACAATAAAAAACATAATATGATGACTTAATGCGAATATCATTCTACTCTTCTTGAAATAAATGGACATGTGTGGTATTAATGAGGCCCACAGCACCTAAAGGACCAGACTGTAAGCAGACCCTGTCTAAATCGATTAATACTGCATTCGTAGATGCAGATTTAAAGTTACTACTTAAATTAATAAGTCTAAAAAACAAGCCACATTCCAAGTTTTTTCGTGTAAATAACAAAGTCATCATATATTCATAACCTCTAGAAATTTGAAGGAAAGTAGGGAGGAATGCTTAAAGCTTTTCAGATATTTAATAACAGGTGCCCAAACTTATTTTTTCAAATCAGTCTGGATTCAGGTAAGCATAAAGTTCATCAGTCAGCTGGATTCAACTAAGTTGCCAGTCAGTATTTTAAATTTAGTGGAAGTGGGGGTCTTTCCAACAGGGCAAGACCTATCTTGTAACTCAGTGCTCTGAAGGGAAGATAGTTTGCAGCATGTGTGAAGAAATGGAAACAGGTTTTGTTTTGCTTTCCTCACAAACGGTTCCTTCCAGTGGCAGCACCAACCCATTTCACTGCAGGGCAACTGGTACCATACCAACATGCTGTTCAAGACCAAAGAAATCAGAAGTAGATGGACAGAACACTAAGCCTGCATTGAGGAGGAGTTTGGTGGGTTTTTTTCTTAACAAAAGCATGATATGTTGATATACTTGTAGAGAAACAAACTATTTGCTATTTGGGTTTTTTTTTCCCCACTTCTAACTAGCATTCAACCCATGCCTTGTGTACTTCAAACTGGTCAAATACAGGCTCCAAACCTAGGTGCAGATTTCCTATGCTCCCCATTGCAACAACTCATTTTTTTCACAAGACACAGATTTACTTCACAATATCTGCTCAAATAAGATGCTATGGAAGCAAAAAATACCAAGAAGCATCTCAGTTTTTCAGATTTGTGTCTGCACCATACAACCTTGACTTTGAAAGACACCAGAACTAAAACACTGAAGTGTGCCGGGGATCTAACAGAGCAACCAGCTACAAAAGACAGTGGTAGTGAAGTGCACAAAGTGCACTAAGCCAAGGCTGTCACACTGATGAAGATCAGGCAGAAAAAAAAGCTTACCACGAAGTTTGGGTGCCTAATTTGGAGAACCTAAGGCCCACCTACTTTGTATGTGTGGTTAGTCAAACATTTCAGAGCAATACATTCCTTTGCCTGAAACATTTTGCAATTAACCATGCAGAATAACAGAAGCAGCATTACCCTGGAAAACCACAGTCAGTGGCAAATGCAACGTAGCACATGGGATGGTCACTAGAAATCTCTCAGCAAGCATAGTACTGCAGACACCAAACCTGCTCCTAGCCATTGCGTACATAACCACAGATCTGCCT